AATGTGGAATGCTGGTGCTGTTGAACACAGAGGCGTGTGTGTGTGTGTGTGTGTGTGTGTGTGAGAGAGAGAGAGAGAGAGAGAGAAAGAGAGAGATTGCTGTGCAGAGAGCCCAGGGAGGGAGGCGGGGGCTGATGTTGGGGTTTCCCCTTCCCCCTGCCTCAGGACTGGTTGCTTCCTGATGCTGTCTGAACTTACAAGACATGCTGACACACTCTCTGTCCCGCAAAACACACACTCTCCTCCCCCCCTCCATACACTCGCTCACACTTCCTGACACACACACTTCAGTTGAAAAGCAGCTGGCAATATAGCAGGATGCCCATGGAACAAAGGGATTGGGAAACCTGCATCATGTGACGTTGCTAATGTGGATGCGCTCCAGTGTCATAAAGAGCACAGTGTGGACAGCGGTTTAATTCCAGAGTTTTAATAAAAGTGGTATAACTTGTGGCACAGAAACTTGCCAGTGTAGACATGTCCTCAGTGTTTTGTTCTTGGCAAGCCCAGTGGTTTTGATTGTCATGTTCACCATTAACTGCACATTCAGCATGGTTGGGGGAGAGTCTGTATGCCGGGGGAAGTGTGTGGACACAATTTGGTGGCTGCAGGGATGGCAATGAAAAGATGGTTGCTGTTTAAGATGGTGTAAAATTCCCCTTTGGAGAACACTGTGACTTTTCCCGCTTCTGTTAAAACAAAAAAACCCAAAACAAACAAAACCAAAAAACTTTCTCTTGGCTACCACAAGGGTGATGGATCTTTTTGGTAAATGCAGAGGTTGGCACTGGATGCTATTGCATAACAGTGCAAGAGAATTTTGTTGTTATTTTTAAAGTTTGAGGCTGTAATTGTTTAGATTTGGTAACTGAAATTCTGCTCTTGCAGATAGGGCTGTACCATCCCTTTTGCAATTTTAAGATTTGTAGTCTAAGCTTAAGGCAAAGGACTGGAGTTCAGGAGATCTGCGTTCCATTCTCCGCTCTGCCACAGGCTTCCTGGGTGTCTGGGCAAGTCATTTAGGCCTCAAATTTCCAAAAGTGGCCATTAATACAGGTGCCACTGTATTTAGGTAGCAAACGTACGAGGCCTATGGCCTGGTTTTTAGTTTCAACCCCCAGCTCTGCCTCCAGAAACCCCACAGTCTCCTATGCCCATGGCTCATTGCTAAGGCTGTGAGTCTGTCAGGGAAGTCACGGTTTCTGTGACTTCCGTGACTTCTGCAGCAGCAGTTTGGGTGTGTGTGTGTGGGGGAGCCGAGTAGGGAGCCCCTGCCAGCCCTGCCAACCCCCTCCCCCAGCACCAGTGGGGGTCCTGGGTCACCTCCCCCAGCATCTGGGCCACCTACCCCAGCACCTGCGGCGCCCCTGGCCCAAGTTTTAGTCACAGGTATTTTTAGCAAAAGTCCTGGACAGGTCACGGGCTGTGAATTTTTGTTTACTGCCCGTGACATGTCCATGACTTTTACAGTAACTCCTCATTTAAAGTCCTCCCGGTTAACGTTGTTTTGTTGTTACTATCAATTAGGGAACATGCTCGTTTAAAGTTGCACAATGCTCCCTTATAACATTGTTTGGCAGCCACCTGCTTTGTCCACTGCTTGCAGAAAGAGCAGCCTGTTGGAGCTAGCTGGTGGGCGCTTGGAACCAGGGTGGACCGGCAGACCCCCCATCAGCTCCCTTGAGTTCCCTGTGCGGCAGCTGCCCAGCAGGCTACTAGTTGCCGGCAGTTCAGCTGTCCCTTCCCGCACTGCCATGTGCTGCTCCTGCCCTCTGCCTTGGAGCTGCTCCCGGGAGCCTCCTGCTTGCTGTGCGGGGCGGGGGGGGAGAGGGGAAGGAAAGGGGGAGCTAATGACAGGGTGTCCCCCTCACCCCTCTGCTCCTTTACGCCATTGGGCCATCTCCACAGAATAGGGGGTGGGGCACGACAGGGCTCAGGACGGAGGGAACTTGCTGGCAGCAGCTGCTGTCCCAACTTGTGGATCTACTTAAAAAGGCAATGTACTTAGAGTGGGGTCAGTGTACTTAAAGGGGCAATTCATGTCTGTCTCTCTCTCTCTCTCAATCTCTCACACACACTCTGTGTCTCTGTCTCTCTCTGCCATGCTGTCTCCCCTCCCTCCATTTGTACTACTTTGTAGGGTATGAGGCTACATTAACAACAATGTGTTAACAGTTGAGGGCACAGCCGAGTGATAGTTCATCATTTACCAGTAAGGCATTCCCTGGGAAATATCCCACCCTCTTCCACCCTCTGACTCTACCACCTCAACCAAGCTTCACAATCATCATTGCTGTGTACAGTATTAAATTGTTTAAAACTTATACTGTGTGTGTGTGTGTGTGTGTGTGTGTATGTATATATATGTGTATATATATATATATATATATATATATATATATATATATATATATGTCTTTTGTCTGGTGTAAAAAATTTCCCTGGAACCTAACCCCCCATATTTACATTAATTCTTATGGGGAAATTGGATTCACTTAACATCGTTTCACTTAAAGTAGCATTTTTCAGGATCATACCTACAATGTTAAGCGAGGAGTTACTGTACTAAAAATATCCATGACTAAAACGTAGCCTTAATCATTGCACCTCGAAAGGAGCTTTCACAGACTTGGGTATGTACAGGATGGACAATTGCATGATGTGGGACCTCTTCCTATGCTATGCATGCCCACCCAGATTTACTAGTTTTGAGTCCCCTTTTCCGATGGAAGCAGAGGGGACAATGTGTCCCACTGACATGAGAGGAAGCCCGGCACATGGAATAAATGTACAACGAGCTACGAAGTGTATTCTTTAGTTCATATTAAGGGCCACATGCTAGCAAAGTTCCATGAAAATTTGAAATAATATTTAGTGTAGAGTTGCTGCATGCATACATGACATTGCACTATTGCCTGGATTTGGATGGTACAGGTAATTATTAAATAGTTGGAACTGAATCACCAGTATCTCATTGAACAAATAGATAATATTGAAGGGGTTTCATTTCTTGGCACATTCGCTGTTGGGGTTGCATTTCATTACACAAATATTGAATGTGTAAAGAAATGCAACCCCAATTGGGGTTTGAATGCAGAATCCTCTAAATGCAATGCAAGCACTTTATCCACTAGGCTACAATAATTGTCCTATAGGAAAAACGGGCAGTTCTGCTGTTAAACCAGCCAGAGGAACGGGGGTGGGGAGAATTTTGAGATGGAGAGGTTGAGGCCAAAATGTCCAGACTTGTTGTTAGTTATATAACTGGAATATTATAAAGGCACAATCCTTAAGAGTGTCTGAAGTTTGTGCTTAAAAAATCATGTTTTGCATTTAGGATGATTATGCAATCTGGGATGAGACCAATTTTTGCTCTGCCATCTGCTCATTTTGCCACACACTTTCATTGTAAAAAAAAAAAAAAAAAAACCCAACTCCCCTCCCCCCAAAAAACACCATCTCCAAAAACAAAAAAGAGAGAACAAAGTTAATTTTTAATGAACAACTGTTCAATCACAAGTTGTTTTTATGAACTGTGCAAAACAAAGATTATGCTGTTGGATGAGGTACAAATGTAAGTGTTTCTGATAAAGAGGGATTGAATCGAGGTTCTCTGATGGCACTTCCAAAAAGGGTGCCAATTTTGGTGGTGGCTCTTGTGATTTAGACACTTCTACATAAGGAACCAGATGAAGACCCACCAAACAGCCATTAGCTGATAACTTTTAGCCACGACTAAAATGGCCTGCATTTGAACTGACACCCAAGAGGGCAGAGGGGTATGTGTGTGTGTGTGTGTGTATGTGTGTTCTACATCAGGAAAAATATTTATTCAGCCTTGGATCCAAAGCTCAAACTGCAGTTAGGTATCTCATTACAGAACTTCTGTTCACAAAGTTGAATAACTGAGAGGTATATAGTGTGAGTTGTGCATTACCCACCTCTCTGATCAGATGGATGGTAAACTTGAGCCTTACAGAAAACATTTAATTATTAATTTTAAAAAACCTGTGTTACTCTAAATGATGAGACTGGAAAGTGATCTAAATAGAACAGGCAGCGGGGGGTGGAATATAATTGCAGTTTGTTTTCATTAATTAAGGATGACCGTGCATACTTGTCTCATGGTTCCACTTCACTTGATCAATCGTGTGCTCCTCTCTAATTTGTGAAAGTACATAGGTTATTTTCCCAACTCCACGCTGTGTCTGTCTTCTCTCTCCTAGACGTATGTTACATATTTTCAGATTATCTATGTTTTCTCTTGTTAATTGCTTTAAATAGTGCATAAAAATAATAACGATGTCACTGCTAGAGGCAAGATATTTGTGTTGGTGAACAAGTGTGTATATCCCAAATATCATCTATGAATTTCAGTGGAATCTCGATACCTAACTCCATTAGTCTCCTTTGAAAGTCCTAGCATAAGGCCCTAGGTTCTGAGTCTCAGGGCTAGTCTACACTACCCGCCCGGATCTGCGGGTAGAAATCGATCTCTCGGGGATCGATTTATCGTGTCTCATCTAGACGGATAAATCGATCCCTGAATTGACGCGCGTACTCCCACCTCGTCAGGAGGAGTAAGCGCCGTCAACGGGGGAGCCGCGGCGGTTGATTTGCCGCTGTCCTCACAGCGGGGTAAGTCGAAAAGGATATGTCGAATTCAGCTACGCTATTCACGTAGCTGAATTTGCATATCTTAAGTCGATCCCCCCCCCCCCCAGTGTAGACCTAGCCTCAGGGGATGAGGCCTAGGCCCCTGCAAAGCATTCCGTATTTCCACCTTATTCAAGCAAATCTCCCTTTGACTTCAGAGCCAGGGAGTGCTGAAGCGGGCCCTTATTTTTCAGCAGTTATTAAAGCTTACTTGTGAAGTAGTACGTGGTATGCCGGTGTATGTTTCAGGAATAAAACTGTGGACTAGAACAATAGGAATACCTAAAGCAAAGCAGGAGAAAGGTATTAATGTAAGGCATTAATTTTCCTTTTCTCCTCTTTAGGATCTTAGCTCATTTGCCATGCCATTCCTGGATGGAGATGTGGAGAGCGCAGACAAAAGTGCTTCTCGAAAGGTAGGATGTTTCAAAGGTTTCATCCTCCTTGTAATTTCATAGTGCTTGTGGTAGTATAAACACGTTTTATTTTACTTAGGTTTGCAGAGGCTGGGAGTCTTGGGCCCAGAATCTCCCTTGCTGTAAGTCCCCAGTGTCCATGGAATTAGACCAGGGATAAAGGGAGCCACTGCTGGGTTGCCCTGCACCACTGTTGTACTAATGTGATACTTCCTTTGAAGAAAGAAAAACAGTCCCTACTACAGCACTGTTGCTATAAACACTGCAAATTAAATTTAACTTAATACAGTAACACTCCTCACTGAATTACAACAGTTATCCCTAGGAATATGGTTAGCTACTGTGATTCACTGAGAGGCGTTGCTGTGTGGTGTTGTACAGTAAACAAACAGATATCTTTGGGTGTCAGTCTGTTCCCTATGAATAGCTTCCTGACCTCTGGCCAATGAGTCCTTTTAACTTGTTATGGTCTTTTTGATCTGTTTATTCCCAGTATTGGCAAAATAAGCTGTAAAATTTAACGGGAGCCAAGGAGGTAGGAGCTTCCTACTTAATAGCTCAGGCATTCTCCCTTAATCCCCCTGGAGGTATCTTATCGGAATCCACTCCCTTGCCTTCCTGCTTGTTTTTTCAGAAGCCTGCTGTTAAACTAAACCAAACATATTAATTTGGCAAACATCCCTTGCCAACAGTCAGACAAATACATAGAAAGATAGTATTCAAAACTTGTTATAGAGCAGCTCCACGTCCTTTAGAGTGGCACCAGTTGTGATGGGGTCTCCTGGCTCTCAAAGTCCTGGCAGTAGGTCCGGTGTGTGTGTGTGTGTGTGTGTGTGTGGCCATGCTATCTAGTCTGGAGAATGAAGAGTAAACCTCCCCGAAAAAGTGTCAATTCAGCCTATATCTGCAAAACGGCCTATTCTGACTCACAATAACACTTAAGCAAAGAATATTAACTCTATGGTTAAATGAGACCTCTTGCAGTCTATCACAGTGTCTCTATTTTGTGGCTCAAGGCAGGGGAAATGACAAATATTGTCCTAGTGACGTTAATATGTATCCAGAAGTGACACTTAAATAAATTGGCTTTTGTCAGCAATTTTTTCCTCTATTATTTTGCACCTCAGGGTAAAGGATAATCATGTTAGAAGCTGGTCCACTCCATCAGCAGTTCAGCATCCTAATGTCACTGGCCTTGTTCTTTTCGGTGTTGGAACTTCTAAGACTGTGATGCAGGAGTGAGAGATGGATGGAAGAGAACCCATGTAGACACTGGATGGGGAAAAAATGTACAAAGTCACTGAAAGAGAGATATATTTGGTGGATTAGCATAAATTGAATAGTGTGATATCTTTGCGCTGAATTTTTATGATGGTGAAAGGCAGTAATTTCTGGCTAAAAATTGCGTTCTCCATCTAGAGTCTCCTATTTTCTCTTGATGATGGGAAAACTATATGAGGGTCAATCCTGAAAAAAATGTACCAGATTTTCTCTTGTGGTCTTACTCGTTCCCAAGGCTGTGTGATGCCTCTTTGAAGTCCTCCTTTGACATTTTGGAGGTGCCTGAATTTTTCCTTCCAGTTTTGTGATGTCATTCTGGCCAGTGACCTTCTTGGGAAGAGCTGGAACAATGTTTCCCAGCAGCCATGTCTTCTTTCTGCAGCTCCAGTAAAGATATTTTATAAACACTTGGGCCCAGCTCTGCTCTGCTGTCACTCAGCCTGCAGAACTGCCATTGACTTCAAATTCTGTGCATGGAACAGCTGTAGGATTGGGCCTCAAAGAGGTATGAAATTGCTTTTATAAACTGGATGATTTTTTGATTGAAATCTAGCACCTTCAGTGCTTCCTAATATTAGACTTCAAGCTGTGTTCAACCTGTGCTCCAAAATGGAATGAGATCAACTGACTATGCCCAGTCTCCGATGGGAAATAAACCATATGTTAAAATCCATTACATGCATCTCATCCTACCCATTACCATGCACTTCATGAGCAGATCTCTCCCATAACTGAATTAGTCCTAGCATCAGTCAGTAGTATGTTATATAATTCTAAATAAAAATGTAAATCAGCCTTTGCTGAAGATAAGCAAACAAACAATTCAAATTAGTATTTACTTCAGGTAAGTGGTTCTCCCTTGTCCAAGGTTGAAGTCACAGTCTGATCCATCTGACTTGCACATGCAAAAAGAGGTGACTCCTTTATATATAGCATCTGCATTTCCCATGTCCCAGTCATTTTGGAGACTTGCAGTAAATCAGAGATGTCTATCTTTTCATACTTAAATCCCTTTACAGCCTAGGTTATAGAGTGAGTTAAAGGTGAGTAGTCCACAAGATCTCACTATCATCTGCTTTTAAAGTTTTTCATTAAATTTGACTGTTCTTTTTTGTGAAAGGGTGCAAAGGCACTTTTAGAAAATGTATTTGTAAGTGTTCCCTGTAGTGCTCATCACTATAATATCTGAGCAGCTCACAATCATTAATGAATGCATCATCCTAACATCCCTTTCAGGCAGGGAAGTATTATCCTTATTGTACAAATAGTGAACTGAAGGACTGAAAATGCTTTGCCCAAGATCACACAAGAAGTCTGTGGCAGAGCTAGGAATAGAACGCAGATATCCTGAGTCCCTTCCAGTGCCGCAATTGCTTAAACTTAATAATAATAATAATAATAATTAATAAGCTATAACCATCCTTCCTCTCCTCACTGTCTCGTGCCATGTGAACAAGGAGTTAATCTCAGCTCAGCTTTCTCCTTCACTGCTCAGGGCAGGGACTACAGTTTGACTGCTTGGAAACCCTTCTCATGTAAGCTTCTGGTGTGACATGCTACCGAAGCAGCACTTGTTGATAAGGTGAATGTTCTCCCTCGTCTATAGATAGGGGAAAGTACATCAGTATTCATGCTGTTAGACCCTTATGGAGAACTTGGTACTGTTGATCTCCAAATACGCCTATCCAGGAGTTCCCTGAAATAATGTAAGTCCTCCTTTCTGATGGAACTCAGGAGCATCGATAAGACGATTAGTTCCCCCCCACCTCCAGAAATCTTATGTATGGAGTCCCACAAAGCTCAGTCCTGATGTATTCAACATCTATATGAAATAGCTGGGGAGACTGAGAGACAACATGGACTGAAGCCTCAGCAGTATACTCTGATATATAGAATCATAGAATTGTAGGACTGGAAGGGACCTTGAGAGGTCATCTAGTCCAGTCCCCTGCACCTAGATCATGCCTAACGGGTGTTTGGAGATTTTTAAGAGCAAGTTAGACAATTTATTCCAGTGCTTAACTACCCTGACAGTTAGGAAATTTTTCCTAATGTCCAACCTATACCGCCTTTGCTGCAATTTAAGCCCATTGCTTCTTGTCCTTGTCCTATCCTCAGAGATTAACAAGAACAATTTACCTTCCTTCTCCTAATAACAACCTTCCTCTGTCCTGAGCCCTGTGGTGTCCCCTCCAGCTCTGTGGAGATGAGGTACAGGAGCGGGGGCGTAGGAGCGGAGTGAGGGGGACACCCTGACATTAGCACCCCTCCTCCCCCTCTTGCACAGCAAGCAGGAGGCTCCCGGGAGCAGCTCCAAGGCAGAGGGCAGGAGCAGCACATGGCAGTGGGGGAGGGACAGCTGAACTGCCTGGCAATTGCTAGCCTGCTGGGCAGGTGCTGCACAGGGAACTTAGGGGAGCGGAGAGCTGATAGGGGAGCTGCCGACTCACCCTGCTTCCAAGCCCCCACCAGGTAGCTCCAATGGGCTGCTCTTTCTGCAAGCAGTGGACAAAGCAGGCAGGTGCCAAACAACATTATCAGGGAGCATTGCGCAACTTTAAACGAGCATGTTCTCTAAGTGATCAGCAACGTAACAAGAAACAACGTTAACCAGGACGAGTTTAAGTGAGGAGTTACTGTATAAAACTACAGTCCAGGCCCTGAGGAGTTTATAATCAAAGATGACAAGCAACCTATGGAGGGTGTAGGGAGAGAAATACAATCAGATTTACACAATTGTTATACATACATATTCATTTTTACATGAATATAAACACTCAGCTATCTCTGACTCCGCCATAACCTATCTTTTCATTTAGGCTTCATGGAAGAAGTGGGTCTTGATGGGAGGTCCTATAGTTTTGACAGAACAGAACTATTTATATTAATTCTAACTGTAGCACTATGTAATGGACTTGACCATTTCCCTTCTACAGAAAAGAAGGATGATCTTGTGGTTAAGGAACTTGACTGGGACTTCCCAGCTCTGTCACAGACTCCTTGTGTGTCCTTGAGAAAGTCACTTTCTCTATGTGCATAAGTTCCGCCCCCCCATCTATATAATGAGAATACTTCCTTTAGTTAGACTGTAAGCCAGTGGTGCCCAAACTTTTCCTGTCGCGCCCCCCCTTACCAGTAATGGAATGTTTCCATGCCCCCCTGGCCTGAGAGCGGAGTCATGGCTGGGCCGCGGCTGGGGCCAGGAGCAGAGCTGAAGCCGGGAGCCGAGAGTGGGGGCCGAGGGCCAGTAGTAGGGACCGGAGTGGAACTGGGGGCAGAGCAGGGCTAGGTGGCACTCCCTCCCTGGCCCCCTGCCCTGTGGGGCTGGCCCATACCCCACTGGAAATTCTTCTGCGCTCCCTAGGGGGGTGTGCCCCACAGTTTGGGGACCACTGCTGTAAGCCCTCTGGGGCAAAGACCATTTTTGTTATCTGTTTGTATAGCACAAAGGGCTTGATCTTTGATCCTGCAGGCACTACCACAATATAAATAAAAACTGTACGTAGTATACTACGTCAACATCTTCAAAGTAGTAACATTTTTTAAAGCTATTGCTAATTTTACAGAAATATTACAATGCAATTCATATGATTAAGCTGACTGAAATTACTGCCACATAGCTTTTTGCTCACAAGTATATCTTCTGAAACAGCCAATTAACATGGGAAGCTGATATTCACAGCATATCCGGAGAATACTGCAAATTTAAATTTGGTTAT